TTTTTTTATATTTAAAAATCTGTCTGACACTGAAAATCCGTTGTATTGTAAAATTCGTTATATCAAAATTCGCTGTAAAAAGAGTTGACTGTACAAATAAGTAAATTTTTTTGTATGATCAACAACTCCTATTAAATTAATTGAATAATAGCTTTTATGATTAATATATTTTTCAGAATTTTTTATTGTAGGTAAATTACAAATATAAGAACTAATAATAGCTCCAATTACTTTTTTAAAGAAGAGTTAAATGAAAAAATAAATTCAAATCCATAAGAAATTTCATCAATTTGACTTTCATTTGGTCAACTAATTATATTAAAAAATTGATCCTACATTACCTTTAGAAATCTATCTGTATAATTAACTACAGATGCTTGACTAATTTCTAAAGTTTGTTTAAAAATTCTATATGATATATTATTTGCAAGTTGTCAAATAGCAATTGCAACTTAAATTTTTATATTAATATTTCTATTATTATTATAAAAAGGATGATTTTGTAAATAAAATAAAAGTAAATTAAAAGTTGATTTGATAATTCTAAAATATACTTTAAAATTATTTTTGATATTTGAATTATTAGTTAAATTTGAAAAAATATCTATCTAATATCTATTTGTCTTTGATCTTGAATTTTTAAAAATAGGTGAATTTTAAAAAAAAAGTTAAATAATAAAATAACAAAATATTCATATCATCTTCCTTCACTTTATCAATTTCATTATTTATTATATTTAAAATAACAAATATAAATAAAAGAACTAATAATTACTGTTTTTTCATTGTTAAAAAAATATATAACATTCTGATACAAATATATTAACTAATCAATTTAGTTCACTCATAATTAAAGAGAATCTGATTTACCATTTCATATAGGTAAACATATATGATTTAAAATAAGTAAAGATCTGCAAAAACCTGTTTTTAACTTGCATAAGAAAACAGATTTGAATAAAGTTAAAAACCCTAATACTGCATAGGATTCATAAAGTAAAATATTTGTATAACAGTACATAAAAGCAACAAAAATTTGTGAAATTACCAATTGAATTTATTAAATGTAAAATACTAATCTGTATTATAAATTATGATAAAAATGTTATGTAATTTCTAATGTTCCAACATTCAAAATTTGTAAAAATTATTTCTAATAATCATCAAATGTTTCAAAATCAAAATAATAAAACAGATATCAAGAATTATCATTTTGAAAGTTTAGATAAGAATAATAAATTGAATGAAGAAATGAAATCATTTAGTATTCTAGCTTGTGTTCAATGTAATAATTACATAAAAAAAATTGATCTTAATGAAACTATCAGGATTTATTTATTCTATTCCTGTTATTTTTGATGAAACACAATTACAGTCAATGAAAAGTTTAATGAAAAAAGAAGAGCTAATATTTGAAATATTGGTTGGATTTTTAAATGAAACTAATTAATCACAATTTCAAGGATTAAAATCAAAAAAAAAGATAAGCTTTTGATAATTCTGCAACAAATTCAGAATCTTAAGCTAACTAATAGTGATGAAACAGAAAATACAATATAAATAGCAAAATAAAATAATTGTAATATTAAATAAAAATTTTTTTAATTTTATATAATTCTATATAAGGAAAAAATACTAGACTGCAATTTAACCTATTACATCTGTTATAGATAAAGATTGAATATAAATACATTGTAGGATTAAGCTTATAATATTATATAAGATAAATTTTTATACTAATAATATTTTATATTAATAGAAAGATACAAAATTAAAAAAATAACCTATTTTCTTTTCTATCAACTACTATCTATATACAGTATTATTAATATATAAACTACTTATTAAATTCAAGTATGCAAATGCAAAAAAAAAAAATAATAATTTATTTAAATTTTAAAAAGTAAAGTTAGCTTATTTTACTATTTAAACATTCTCACTTTCTTTATCATCAATAGTTGTTCTTTTAAATTTTTGAAATTTAGTCGTACCTAATAAAGAAATGCAAACTTTATGTTTTGATCTAATCTTATTTAATAATTCTAAGAATTCAATATTTTGTTGATTTTCTTTTGGAAATAATGAAATTAATTCTCTTAATGATATTAATTGTTTCACTATTCTACATGTAAATAATAACAAAAAAAAAAAATCGAGCTATTAATATATAATGTTAAAATAGTTTTATAATTAAAAATAAAATTTTGAATACCTTTCATTTATTGAATGTTTAGTAATATCCCATCTTTTATCGACAATAATTTTTAACCACATTTCAGCAATACCATCATAAAATCCAATTTCTTGAGATATTTCATATCCTTTTTCACATCCTAGTATATGACCTTCTAATTTTCCTGATTTTATTCCTTCTTTTATTCCATCTTCTCTACCAAATTCTATAAACCTATAAATGACAAAAAAAGTTAAAAGATAAAAGAATTAAACGAGTTTAATACTTAAGTAACATACTTACATGGATTCGATATTAACTATATCATCAAGATCTAATTCTGTCTTCAGTTGTTGCTCCATTGAAAATTCGTTAAGTTCATATGACGATCTTTCAAAGCCACACCACATCGTATATATAATAAATATTTAAAAATTTAATCTATTTTTTTCACCACTTTTTTTTTTTTTTTTTTTTTTTTGACATTACAAAAATTATGTCGGGAATTCCTTCAGGTGCAATGTTAAATATCGATCAAATTGAAGTTGTTAGGTCTAGGATGATACAAGTCTGGAGTGCTCAAACTGAATTTTTAGAATTTCTAGCTTCTGCAGAAGATCCCAATTCAATTAGTTGGTAAGCTTTAAAAAAAAAAATTTTTTTTCTTTTTGAATTCTTTTATATATATATATATATTTTATGAATATTCTTCAATTTATGTTTTTACTAAGGGCCGATTATTTGAATAGATTTAATATTTTTTTATCAAAACATACTGGTCTATCAAATACTTTTATCGATTCAAATCTACGTAAAAACATTTTACACCCAAAAGATGCTCCTCCTGTTGAAGTCGAACAAACTTTTATTACTTTATTACGTACAAAACAAACACCCGAAATTGAAAATTTAGAAGAAGAAATAAAACACGAGATTTCTTCACAAGAAAATTTATTAGATTTAGAATTAGAAACTAAAAAGAATGATGATGATAATAAATGGGATAAATTATTTGACGAGTGGGATAGAAGATATAAAGAACATGACATTATTGCTAATAATGCTTCTGATATTTGTGAAAATATTTTAGGTGATATTAATCTTAAAAAAAGATTGGATGATAATATCGGTTTAGATAAAAGTGATGATGCGGAGAATATTGATATTAAACAAGATTTAACAATGGAAAAAATTCTCATTTTCATGTCTAGTGGTAAATAAAAATTAGATATCATTAAATTAAACCTTTTTGATTGCAAAATAATAAAAATAATTAATGTAATGATATCAGGGATTTTATTACTTGTTATTACTGTTTGGTTTATTAATTAATTATAATTATATATTACTGTAATTACTATTTATAATTTTTTTTTTTTTATTTACATGCAGGAAGTCTAGAGCAAATATATATTATATATTATTGTATATACAAAATTTTAATGCATGAAGTTACGTACACTAAAACCACTAGGAGTGATTCCATGAAAATCGCTTCCGAACATTTTCATCAATCCAGCTCATTATTTTTTCAAAGTTGACATTGACGGGACTCTTAAATCCCGATGTCAACATTTCAACCTTTTTGAGCCCTACTTCCTGCTTAATGAATTCTTGCCCAAATGCTTGCCAGATGGGCATCTTCTCGGGTTTAAGAGATCGATATTCTTTTAGGTTAGTGAGATCAGATGCGAAGAAATAAGCATCATCTTCGGCTTGTACGAAACTGATATCCATTCCACACCAAGTTTGTTGTCCGTTTGGTGAGATGCTGCAATAACATATATAACTAGTTGTTAAATCTTTCTATATAGCTTATTAAATAATAGAAAATTTTTTTTATATACCTGTAACCCCAGATAAGGTGGAACTTGATCGCACCTTTGGGAATAACTTGTAGTTCACAGGAATAATCGTCCTTTATTGAAAGACTATCGAGGAAGCGAACTACTGAAGGAACAATTCTCAAACTCTATGTAAAACAAAACGAAATCAAATAACATTAATATTATATCATAGATAAAAAGATAAAAGAGATATAAATAATTTACTTACATCGATAAATTTGTTGAAGTTATGCACATATGCAGAATTTAACTCCTCTTTTAAGAATGCAAATAACTTGTCCTTGTGTGGATTAGAAAAGTCTTTCTTTGTATAATATTCTGTCGCAAAATCGTGTAAAACCAAGGTGTATTCATTTTTACGCCAGCTTATATCGGCGCCATACTATTATTAATACAAGAGAAATCATTAAATAAATATACAATATTAAGGACATTGAAAATATGATATTTACCGGATAATACTGCAATTTTAGCGTATCAAAATCAAAGTTGAGTATATTAATATCAGATCTTTTCTTATCACTAAATATACGTTTACACTCGCAGGCTGCCTGTGTCACCATAACTATCTCCTCAAAATCTTCAAGGAATGTATCCACAAAGTTCTTTATGCTATTATAATCATATCTGAAAGTCAAAATTCCTGATGGCTGATCGTAGATAATATTGGCTAACATATTTAAAAGTAAAATAGAAAAACTTGTTAAAAGGGTATATTTAATTACATTAATTCTTATGGTAAAGCATATATATAAAACCAAATTAATTACTAACTATTTAAGAAAACATCAACCATCCTCGGTAAATATCTAGATTGCAGACAAGTGGTTAAAATTACCTAATGCAAGAAAAAAGACTCTTGTTAGATTTCCGAGTTTTATAAATAATATAAAAAAATATCAATTAACTTACCTCTGGATTGGTTGTTTTTGTTAAACGTGCACCGGCAAGACGTACAAAAACGTCACTGAATATATTCAAGCAAAAATCATTTGCCCTAGGAAATCTTGCCAACAGGGACCTTATGTTAATCTTGAAAGTAGGTATCGTAGTAGACAGTGATAAAGGAGCGTTCGAATCGAGAAAATCCAATGACTTATTGATTTCTTTATCAAAATCCACCTCAGGTGACAAACGTTTAATGGCTTTTATTTGCTCCCTGATTCTGACTGGTTCTAATTTTACTTCTTTTTCGTTAAAACAAGCCTCTACTTTCTCGTAATCTATGCGTGCTCTTTAAATTACAATAATGAAATTAGTAAATATAATTAACAAACATGTATCAAATTGTGATAGATATATACATACCGAGCTATTGCCACAATTCTTGCAAGTAAAAGTTCTTCAACCGCAGACCTAAAATAAGGTTATTAGAAAGTCCGTTCAACAATTAAAATAAATTAAAACTATTTCATATTATAAAACCATACGAGTTAAAATTTGTTTCCGAAATTTCAAATGTCCTTTTTGTTGATCGTGGTGGAGATGAAGCTATTTCATCTTCCTTCATCTTATCAAAACTCCGCTTGCGAGTATGATCAGATAAATTCGAATATTTGAGAAATTGTCGAGTTGATTTTTCTGAGAGATCATCTATTTTTGATTTTTTATCAAATATTGTATTTCCTAAACAAATCGTCTGAATTGAAGTGATTCGATGCGTTGGCTCCTTATTTTTAACATCGAGAAGATACTTTTTCGTTGGAGGCAGACGACTTAATCATTTGAAAGGAAAAATATATAGATATGTATATATATTTTAATCTAACAAAAGATTTAATAACGAAATTAAAATAAAAATTTCTAAATACCTAAAGGTGGCCAGACTATACACTATACCATTTGCCACCATTCCTGCAATAAGATAATACCCTTTATCGGGAATAACCTTACGCGAAAGCATTTTACCAAAGTCTTTGACGTCATAAAATTCCAAGATCAAATTTTGAGTTGTATACAGCTTGCTCCTTTCATCTGGGTCTAAGATTATTTCTTGCGGTACATCAAGGAAAAGTTTTCTGGCCGTCGATTCCAGTCGAGGAATCATTACAATAGATCTCAACATTATAAGTATATCAATTAAACAATTGTGATCGTAGCTAAGTTTGTTTTCACAAAACTTAATTTTATCTAAAAATATATAAAAATGATATATATAAAAATGATAATCAGTAAACTTCAATGAAAATCCTTAATAAATTAAATAATTATAAATTTTACCATGCTCTATTCCTTGATTCTCGTCTTCAATAAAAATCCTGCCGCTTCGAGTATCAATTCCGATTTTAATATAATAATTTTTTGAATCGCCACATAATCTTATACGCAATTTTGGTACCATTAGGTATTTTCTTGCCACTTCATCCGAGAAAGATGATTCCGCTGAAACTGAATCAGAAACCAACTCTATAACATTAAATGAATTAGAAATGTATTTATAAATTAACGATAATCAACATGTATAAATGAACGTAAGACTTACCATTATTTTCGTTGACTATTTCAAAGTCATTTTCAGTGTAAACTCCCGCTTCATCATTTTTCAAAATCTCAACAAATTTATCGATAATTGAACAAGCGTGTTGCTGCGTTATGGACAACATTAAATGCTCTATATTTAGATTGGTTGGGTCCTACAGATGATACAAGGCTGTGATTAATGATAGAAATTTTCAAAAAAATCAAATAATTCAATGCGATAATATTAAATTTAAAAACGAAAAAATTTTACAAATTTCCATTCAACAACTATCCATTCATTAGCTTCATAGCCTTTCAACCCGGTCCAACGAACGCGTAAAACTTTATGCGGATAATTAATTCCGCGAGTATCGTTCAAAGCTCCAAGCTTCACATACTTTGTATCAGTATACCAATGTGCTCTTTTAAGAGTTTTTTTTGACGAATAAAGTAAAGGGCGATCAGACTCTTCAGTTATCACAGAAATTTCAATAATATCGTGGTTTTTAACCTCAGAAGACATTGAATTCGACGCATGTGGGACATTTGGACGCATGTTTATTTGCGCTATTTATGAAAAATTAAATATTATTGGTTCAATGAATATAATGAAAAATCAATACAAGCGTTAAAATTACGAACCTGGCACAGGTTGCTTAACAAAACTTTAAAGAAAAAAATTACCAAATGTTAATTTTGTCTTGGGAAGAAAAAAATAAAAATATTAACAATACATTGGATAAATTACCTCCAATAAAATATCCTCAAAACGCTTTCATCTTCATTCATAAGCATTTCAAAATTATTAATCCATCTCGTTTGTTTCATATTAACTGCCTATTAAAATCAACATAATATTAGGGTATAAATTTCAAAAAAGAATTGCATTAAAAATATTACCTGTTGAAACAATATATTAAGTTGAAGATCTAAACAGTAATTGTCTGATATAACATAATTGTTAAGAATAATTATTATAAACATTGTTACAATTTTGAATTGAAATAGAAAAGGATACGTAAATATTCATATAAATTGACCAAAGGACAGAATTTAGCTGCCTGCAGTGAAGCGGATACCTCTGATGCCTCGGAAATTGCTGGATGTTTCATACTACTCGTAATCCTTTCTGGAATAGGCAGTGGTGGTGGGGACAAGAACTGAGTTTGAATCATTCCCTTTAATCTCAATAGTTGATCATCATGAAATGTGAATTTCACATCTAAAGATTTTGGGAGGAAAAGCAATTTGGTAAATTTGATGTATTTTTAATATTATGAATAAAATATTAATTCTTTACCATTGAATGTTCTGTCACTTGCTGATTGGATGAGAAAATTCAGATCGACCATCCACCAAAGTTCATTAATTTCCATAATATTACAAAGTGTCAAAACCACCTTAAAATGTGATCAATATATGTTAATATGTTTAAAAATCACGACAAAAGATCCTTCAAATATTACCTCAAATTCTTTGTCAACTAAGAACTTTATTTTACCGTTCGAAATGCTATAGTTTCTCATACACTCTGGTATTATTTCCTGTGTTAATATGCGTAATTGGATGATACCATTTAAAGCTTCTAATGTCTCTTTAGCTTCGTCGTCGTTCAGAATGTCAGGCGCAAATCGTTCCTATATCATGAAAAATATTTTTAAGATTTTGTTAAAAGGAAACAATAATTCTCCTATAAATACCTTAATCATACTAGGAAATCTCTTATAAGTTCCCTCCTTAAGCACGTCAGACGAATTTATGATGTCTGGTGACCGTAGACTAGATTACAAATACAAATTTAAGAACATAATGATCTATTTAAAAGGGAATCTCTAATACTATTGATTATTACCTAGAACTGGGCATAAAGAAACTCCAATCGTGCATACTTCTCTCAACTTGGCTACTTATATTTTTTTGGCTTTGTACGGCCTCGTAATGTAACTAAAGAATGAAAGAATTAATAATTCAATAAAGTAAAGCCTTTTTTGATAATTAATTAACAAGTCGAATATATTTCTACAATAAAGACTTCTTATCAAGATTTAAAAATATCTTAATTAAATTATCTAGAATACCTACCTCATAGTCGCGTACTAAGTCAGCTTTTTCAGACCAAGAGACCAAAGTTTTTAATTTTAGCCAATTACTACGTTGTGGTAATAGGTAGCTAATCATGAAAGCTTTTCTACGGTCTGTATCTGGCTCCGATATTCTATGTAACAACGAAAGATTAATTTCTTAGGTACCAGGATAGATAAATTGAATTCAAGCCAAATTTTTAATAACTTACGGCTTATGAATGAATGTAGCTAGTCGGTCGTAAGCATCGCCATTAACGGCGTCTACCACCTCGGTTAAAGGTTTCCAATGTTCCAGTTTTGCAGAATGAGATCGCTGAATCTCGATGTTATTTGAAATATCCATGATAAATTAAGTTATTTAGTGGTTAATTTATAAGTTGAAAAGAGAAAAAGGTCCAAGATTGATTTCGTAAAAGCGAATTTTTTTAAAATTATTGGAGAAACTGCGAGAAATCGTCTTTATTTATTTTCTGATAATTTGCCACCTGACCCTGCAAGCTTCGTGTAACATTATTGACGCATTCGCACTTTAATAGGAAAGCAAATTTTGATGAAGAAAAACACGTGCGCGAAAATCTTTAATTTGATAAATTCTAATGTTGAACTTTATCTGCAAATTTTGAATAATCACTAGATATTTAACAATCTAGGATATGATAATATTAAACTTTATCTAAACCTATAATATAAACAAATAAAAATTAATCTGTAAATAAATAATTATCATTCATTATTTAATTTATGTTTCTTTTAATAAAAATAAATATAAATAAAAAATTTAGAAATTTATAATATTATTTTATTATATATGTTTAACAACTAATTTTATTAAATATTTATCTTTATAAAAATTTCTAAATAAATTAACAATTTCATAATTTTTAAATAATAATAAATAATAAGTTGTGATCTTAGAAAATCAAGCATGTTTAGGTTAATATCTCTACCAGGTATTTTGTTATAAGAATAAAATCTTAAAAATACTATTTAAGTAAAAAATAATAATAATAAATAAAATTGATATACTAAGCAACTAATTAAAATAATCCAAATCATCAGATTTTAAAATACTGAAAATTGGTTGAAAATAGTCTAATTTATAAATGTGAACAAAGATTATTTTTAATTAAAAGTCCAACTTTCTGACAGTTTTGAAAATAATTCAAACTGTAAAAAAAAATTTATAAGGTTTGTTATGAAAATTGTTGTTGAGATTTCTAACTTGTAAATAAGTAAGATGGGTTTTACTTAAGTCTAGAATATTAAGATTAAAGTTAATAAAAATTGTTCAATTTGTTGAAGTCAATTTAAGGATATATAGCTTTAAACATTATATGCAGCTAGTTATATCTGATGAAATTACCTTTCTTAATATGATAAAATTGATGAAACTGAAATAACAAAACTAGTTTTTTATTAATGACAAAATTATTTTACTTAATTGTTCAAATTATATTTAACTTAATCTAAATTCCTTAAATTAAAATACATTAAAAAATATAATAATTTTATATTTATTCATATAAATATATTAAAAAGACAAAACCTTTTGACGAAACTACAATTTTTCAAAAAAGAGTTTAGGCAGGTATTATTATGTGTAATAATTGAAAGTAAGTTTGAGTTATTAATAATTGATAGAAGATTTGCATTTGTGATATTATTATTATTGATTAGAACTGTAGAAGACATTTCATTAATATGATTAGTTTAAGATTATACACTCATTGAAAAATTATATTCGATTAAATTATAAAGCCGATAGTAGTAATCAAATTTCTCATTTCGTTCTTAATTTCATTTACTGATGATTCTATCAGACCAATTTGTTAAAGATTATTTGTAATAGTAGTAATAAAAGCGAATATATCATTAGAAATAGTTACTATTTGAATATCTTGGATTTATGATAAGATAATGTAGTGTTATCAGTCATAAAATATTCGTCATGTGAGAAAAAACATAATTTAGATCAGTAACATATGTAACATCGTATTCAATATTATACATAATTTTAAAATGATTAAGATAAATCCTATATCTTTTTCATTTTGTTAGTGATCTATGATATTATTCTTGATAAGACTATTTTATCGCTAATTGTGAGTAGTCTATTTTCTATATTATTAAGTATTTCTTGAATGAGTTTTAGAGCATCAATAGTAATATCTGACGAAATTACCTTTCTTAATATGACGAAATTGACGAAACTGAAATAATGAAACTAGTTTTTATTAATGATAAAATTATTTTACTTAATTGCCAAAATTATATTTAACTTGATCTAAATTCCTTGAATTAAAATACATTAAAAATATAATAAGTTTATATTTATTCATATAAAAATATAAAGAGATGAAACTTTTGACGAAACTATAATTTTTTAAAAAAGAGTTTAGGCAAGTATCACTAAGCATTAATAACATTTGAAACTACTGGGATAGTTTATTTGTCATCATGCTTAGGATAGGTATTTTTAATAGTATTAGCATAAGGAATAGTATTGTTAAACTTATTAAAAATAGTTATTACATGAAGGATAGTAAGATTCTGATTTAAAATGATCATAAAGCGGTTTGTAAGGATTGGATGGTTTGCAGTTTATATAATTTTTATATTTATATCTAAGAGTACTATAGCTTCGACAATATTTGGTAGATAGTTTTATCCAATATAAGATTTTTCCTTTAAATTTTTGAGGCTATGCCACTGTAGTATCAAGATCTTTAAGAGTTGTAAAATTGATAAATGTATATGGTCCGAGTCTGTATTATTAATCATATAGAATAAAGCAATTCTAACATTAGTATACGTAAAAAAATTGCCTAACTGTTATTAGTCAGTATTGAAAAGAAGACCAGTGAGTTTTAGTTTATATTGTTGTTATAAAGCAGTTTGCATTAGATCAATATCAGTTGATTCTACTCTAAGAGTTGTTTTGAGAAATTGAATAGACCAGAGTTTGTCATAAAATGGTTTGATGATATCAACATTTCAAATATAATAAAGGCAATCTGCTACAGATCTCAGATAATCTGGTAATCGCTTTATATCTGAAAAAAGTTTCGTAATACGTTAAATTTGACAAATAAGGGAATATCTGATACTTTAAGGATCCTGCAGATCTATGGTAGTGAAGATTAGATTATATTATATTTTCTATACTTTTGTAATAACATGTGTTATTTCCTCTATTAATCAGAAATAAACTGAAAATTTTCTAAATTTGATAACAATAGGTAGAGCCTTGATAAAGGAAGAATTAAAAATGATGTCATTATATTTTTTAAGGTTATAGACCCCTCTTATCATAAAATCAATTAAGAAAATTTATATAACTTAACATGTAAGTAATAATTTAAATTACGATTTTTGAATTGATAACTATAAAAAAAATAAATTAAAAGGTTACAATAATTCCACATGATTTTTACTTTAGAATTATAAAATTAAAAAAATTACTTTATTAAATTTTCTAAATAAATAAAACTATAATGATAATTTATAAAAAAGAAATAATTTTATTTTCAAAAATTAATCTTTATGAATATTAATTTGAAATGTAAAAATTATTTCTGCTTTCAAGATTACGAAATCTTTACTCTATCTTTTTTACTATCCTTAATATATTTATTATCTGCTATTTTATTATTTTTCTCTACTATATTATGATTTTCTATTGGTGTTATTAATTGCTGTTTATCATTAATTATATATTGACTAATTTCCCTCTTTTACTCAGATGCATAATTTTATATGTTTTTTAATAAATGCCTTTATTAGAAAATATTTTTCACATTTTTTATACACTAATTTATGATATAATTTACACAATATACTTGGGCAATATTCATCATAACCAGAAAGCTGATACAAAAATATTCTAGAGTATATAATAAATTAAGAAAATGCTTATTCTGTTCTTGTATAATAGGAGAAAGAAATCTATTATTTAGTGATAAAAGTTTAAAGGTATCAGATACTTGTGAAATTTTACAATAATTTCTATTTTCATATTTACATAAATCCAAAGAGTATTTGCAAACCTGCAAATGATGATCAATCTATTCCTATGTTTCTTTCTCAATATCTGAAAATATAAAATTATCATGACTTTTAACTTATACAGCAATAACTAGTTATTCATTGATAAGATCTTATTTTCTGAGCTTACAAAGGTTTTCACCAGCATGTTTAAAATTTTTGTGATCAAGTTTATCATCAATCACAATTATTTAACCATTTATATTGCCAAGGTGATTTCTATAATTAAAGGTATTTAATATGATGCCTGCTAATTTGCCAGATAATGATACTACGTTTCACTCTATAGAATTATATGCTGATTATCCCAGTACATGTGTTCGCATTATAAGATAATTTAAATTAAGTTTCTTAAAAAATAACAAATATTTTAAAATATTTGCAAGTAAATAAGGGTTCTTATCAGATCTACCATCTGTTAATAAGCACCAAATAGGTTTTACTAAACCTTCATAATGGGTAAACTCACAAAAAGCCTTCTCTTTTTTAATTATCATAAGATTAGACATATGTGTTTCACAGGAAGTACTCAGAAAGCATTCAGAATGAATAAAGATTCTCATTTTTCCAGAACGTAAAGATTTATTGGTATTGCTAGGATTAATTATAAGATAAATAGATGAAATCAGTTTATATTTAGATGATACTAGAAAATCATGATTTGAAATAGATATAGACTCATTTGATATCTGTATAGTTTTAAAGATTTTTCCAACTGCAGTAATACCTAATGGAACCTTAAAATAATAATTTATAATTAATATTAAAACAATTAATTAAAATAAAAAAACTTAGAGCAATGACCTAAGCTTTATTATTCAGCGAAATTAAAATAAAGCTTTGTAGAAATGCTGATGTGAAAGTTTGATCAATGCCAAACAATAATATTTATTATTATGATTATTCATTTTATTTCTTCCAATTGTATTTGTGTCAGATAATGATATTGCTTTGCTTCCATTATTTCTGAATGATGAAGTTGCATATAATTTTGTACTGTAGTGTTATCTTACGATACTAACGAATGAAAATTAGTATTGACGCAAGATTAACAAAGGATTTAGCTTTAAGACTTTATAATACGATTTATGGAGAGCTTCTGAAGGTTTATCGATCAAATATATTTCAAGTCAAAGTATAATTTATGGGTTAAGTAATTTAGAGTTTTATTAAAGAAAAGAATTATTACAAATGTATTATTTGCATACAAGTGTTTTAGTAATTATCTTATTAATGATAAAACTAAGTAAATTCTCTGTCGTTTATGAAGTTCTAAAGCTACCCTATTTATAAGAAATT